TTTTTTTTTTTTTTTTTTTTTTTTTTTTTTTTTTTTTTTTTTTTTTTTTTTTTTTTTGCATACCGAATCGATTAGCTGTAGATGTACAGTTGTGTAGCAAGTAGTATGAACCTACGTTCAGTCAGACACGTACACGCGGTGCTGAAGACCTTTGCACAAGGATTAATTTAGTATAAAAGCCGGCCCAATTTTTAAAAAAATACATGTTAATTCCCAACCATATGTGACATCGATTCCCCCATGATAAAACGCCCAGCGAATCGATCCAGCCTCGCTCGCGCGCTATTCTTGAATATTCATTAGCGGCGGCAGCAGTAGATAAAAGTCGTCGATTCACCGGCAATTAAATATTTGGATCAATGTCAATGCCGCGGAAGGTTGTATACGTTACGAACGACGGACGAGCTTACGTAACGGCGTTACAGTGTACCCGTATACATACACCTATGCACACACGATACGGACGACCTTCTTTGGTTAACGATTGTTGTTTGTATACCCGCTCGTGTACGTTATACGTATACACACGTGTGCACGTGCCCTCCTTATTCCCTCGCTCGTGAATCGCGAGTATCAAATTTTCCAACTATCGATTCGATCCTTTCGTATGTACGCGTGTCTTTCTGCAGCGATGTACGCGTCTGTAGGTTCCTACTCTTCACGAATAGCATGAAGAAAAAAAAAAAAAAAAAAAAAAAAAAAAAACAACGTCCTCTCGAGCGAGTGTATACATCCAAGTGGGTGTACGTGTATACATAATATATTCTGTATGAATAATGATATACGATTGATGATGTCTTACGAATTCCCTTTACTATACATCACCCACGTACAAGTGAAAAAAATTCTTGGCGACTCGTGGCGGAAGGGAGAAGCGACGGCAATGCGCTTTCGCAACGCGTGTACACACACACACACAGAATCCTCTCTCACGCGGTTGGATGAATAAATAAATTAATGCAGGTTGGTAGGGAACGCGCTATATCGGTGTACGCTTGTTGTACATAATGTATACTTTGAAAGCAATGTTTGCATATAAAGCCACCGCGACAATTGTTTACCGTGCAACTGGAGCTGCGATTGAGGAAATTGAATGATTATTTTTTGTTTTGGTAAAATTACACACCCTTGACTCTGTGTAAATAAACTGCAAGAAGAGAAAAAAAAAAAAATAAAAAGAAATGACCATTATTCCCACCAATTCACTTGCACGCGTTGTAAGTATACGTGCATCGGGTGGCAGGGCAAAAGAGAGAGGTGGACAGCAGCACAAAAGCCCTCGGATCTCGATAGGGGGGGCCTCCCGATACAATCAACTACTTAGGATGCCTGGCTTCTCCACACGCAGATGTATGTTTTCTTGTATACATGCAAGCACTCATTAAAGCGCATTATATACCACCCCCTCCTCCACGGCTATAACAGCCTGACCCATTTCAGTTATTGCCTTTCACAATTTTTCTCGCCATACGTTTTTTTTTTTTTTTTTTTACTACTCACAATATCCTAAATGCAATAAAAACATGTATCACATGCTCGCGAAATCAGTGAAAAAAAAAGATTTTTTTTTTTTTTTTTTTTTTTTTTTTTTTTTTTTTTTAGTATAAAAAAAAAAAAAAAAAAAAAAAAACTGACACAATATACAACGCACGAGCCTTTTGGAGAAAGGAAGTAGAGTTCTAGCTATGCAGCTGATCGGACAAAGAAATCATCTATTGCCGTGATTAGTGCGTACAACTGTTCCCTTGCGTGGAAGTATACATTTGTTTAAATTCCAACGAGAGAACTGGAGCAGAGAGAAAGCTCCTCGAGACGGAATGGAGAGGCTTCTGCCGTTAACGAGCCAATTATCGCGTTTTATTAA